GCTGGCGGCGGGAATGGCGGCGCTGAGCCTCACCGTGGACGCGGGCAGTCCTCCGCTCGGTAAGTGCGGGCCGGGCCTCGCCCCGCGCCGCCCCGCTCCCTCTCTGCCGCCGGGGCTCTGTGCCCTCCCTGCCTCCCTCCCTCGATCCCTCCCGCCCGTGTTGCATCATGCGGCGCCGGCCGTGCCCGCGTGCGGGGCCGGGCGAGGCGGCACCGGGGCCCGTGCCCGTCCTTCCCGTTCCTGCCGTCCTTCCCGTCCCTGCCGTCCTTCCCATCCCTGCCGCCCTTCCCGTCCCTGCCGTCCTTCCCGGGGCCGTGTGCCCGCTGCGGGGCCCTCTGGGCAGCTGCTGGGGCCGTGGCGGAGCGGCCGGCGCTGGGCATAACTCGGGCTGCAGGTTCTCGGGCACGGCTGCAGCCTCGGGTGACTTGGCACGCTGAGGCTGAGTGTTCAAGGCAGCCCTAGCTCACACTGCCTGTTCGTGAGCTCTGCCGCTGTGTTGCTATCTTTCATTTTCAGTTCTAATCTGCTGCTAAAATTCCTCTCTGGGGGGAGCTGGCTCGAAGTTGCGCTGTGAAATCTTGCTTTCTCAGTTGCTCGCTGCCCTTCGATGTTATTTTGCTTTTAGAAATGTGAGAACCTTCTTCACTGCACTTTCACCCATCTGGAACCAATCTTTTGTATGCGTTCCATAGAATTTCTCCATTTCGTTATAGCTATTCAAAATAAATTTTCTTCCTATTTTGCATCGTACTTTATTGATTTCTTTTTCTCGCTGTTATTCCCAAATGCGTTTCAGAGTTGAATACCACTTGTATGACTACTGATTCAAGGTATAAAAACATAAAAGTTTTAAGTAAAATTTCTCCTGATACTCGTTTATACTGACTTGCCAGAAAAAAAATATGATGCAATATGAATCATGATTAACATCAGGTTTAGGGGCTTTGGAGATTTATTTTCTTTGACAGCTGGTGAGTGGCACTGGAGGTTTATTTCAGGAGAGTGCATGATTGCGTTGGAAACGTCGCATATTACAGAGATGAAACATTTATATCAAGGAGACAATTCCACTCGTCTTACTCATCCCTACTTCATACTCTTCATCATGTCAGCTGTGCAGTGGGAAAAGGGTAGTAGTTTTTAATGTCATCAGTATTAATTACATAGCTTGTTGCACATAATACTTGTCATTTTCAAAGCATTTCCATGCATGTTATTAAAATACTTAAGTGTCTTACTAACGTATTGCATTAGGGATGTCATGCTGAATTTCACAGATGGATAGCTGAGGGATGAGAAGAAGAACCTTGACTTAATTCCACAGAAGGGTTTTCAGCTGAGCAGAGGTGAGAGCTAGGGAATTCCTAGCTCCAGTGGTTTGTATTTAGGCCAGTGTATTAATAGCTTATAGTATCATCTGCCTCAGTAGCTGGAGCGTTGTCCTAGGGAAGGTAAAGTGCACAGCACGCTATGGGGGCTGTAACAGGTTAGGTGCCTTTCCAGACCTAGAGTACAGTCCTTTGGCTGGTTTGCCTATGCAAAAGCTTGCTGCCTTTGTACGTGCTTCTGAGCAAAGTTGAAGAACACAAGCTCCTCTGCTAATGCTCAGCAGGCTGACTCTGGAGCAGAGCCAGTGCAGAAACACAGCCAAGTGAGCTCGGTGCTTTGTTTGAGCTGCTGTGTTGTGCTGTAGAGCCTCGAGATCAGAGCAGGTTTGCATCAAGCCTCTTTGAATATGGGCAGAGCTGTCCTCCAGTCAATGGTGTAGTCTAAAAATTTCAATAATTCTTTTCTTTCTGGAGACCATTTTTCACTGTCACTGGTGAACAACTTTGAAAACCCAGTGTAAGCTTCCTGCGCTTTTACATGGATAAAGTTTCTTGGTTTTGAGTGGCTAATCTTTTCATAAACTTTAAATCAGGTTAAAAATAGTCTCATCCTTGTTCAGAAAGTGCTGGTATATTCAGTAATTGATCTCCTTTGATGCATGTGTCAGGTCTGGGATGAAGTACATTAGTAATACTGTTCAATAATTAAGAGCTTTTTGATTACATTCTCCTCATATACTGGGGGACAGGACTAATTTCTACCATACCCTTAGGAAGCAAAAATGCATTACAGCTGACACTTGCTGAGCTGACTGCAGATCACTGTGTGCTGGACATTATCAACTTGAAGCTGTAAGGATTGCCAAGAAGAAGCCTCTTGCATGTGAGAGTGAACATTGATTTTTTTGCTTCCCTGGGCTTTCTTACTTGAAGGAGCTGGTTCAGTCACCTGGTCCTAGTGGATAGGAGATGTAACTGGTTGGTTGTAACTGTGAAAGGTGTCTCTTCTGGAAGGAAGTTCAGTATCTTTTTCTCTTGTTTTTTCAAGGAGCTCTGCTGACACTGGAGCATGTGAAGAATGATGTTGAAATTTCAGTGCAAGAAGGCAAAGAAACCATCCTCTCTGTGTCTGAGTAAGTGACTTTGCATCTCTCCTTCTACCTTTGGGTCAGCAGTTTTAAAAATCACATGGTTGTAACATTGACAGTAACCTTTTGAGGTAGAAGGGAGAGAAAAGAAATAGTTTTATTTATCACTGCATTACTGATGCCTCTGTAGCACAGGCAAAACATTTACAGTATATTCTGAACTAGATCTTTATGGAAAAAACTCTATTTATTTATGTGTACCTATGTGTAATCACTTAGGCTATACCAGTCACTTTAATGTTTAGGACTTTTTGTGGTGTCGTGGATCACCAACAGCAAGGCCATTCTTTATTACAGAGGTTTAATATTTAAAATTTCTTGAGCTTGTACATGTGTGGTGGGCTGAAATTTGAATGTTTAGATGACATTATTTTAGGCTCCCTCCCGTGTGTGTATAAGCAAAGGCATGATGTTATCTCAGGATAGTGCTAATTAAATGTGCTGTGCTATCCAGTGTATCCATCTGCAGACCGTAAAAAGAATATTGGGATTTTTTGTAGTAATCTATTGTCTGTCCTTCTAAAAGTACTCCGCCGTTGAAATGGATAATTTCAAGTTTGGAGCATGAAGATGGTTTTTACAATCTGAGAAAGCTCAAATGCCTATCAGAAATGCAGGACTAACACTGTTAGTTTTGGGAAGCTGCATTGTCGTCTTCGATTCCATATCAGTTAAGACATCTGGATATATCAAGAGGAGAGATCCTTCTGTCTGACATATCAGTGGAAACTCTGGCATTTAGTATCTACAGTAAGGAGCATATTTGTACACATGAGCATTGCAGTTGTAACTTAAAGTATAGTAACACCATGATGAATTTGGAATTACTGATTATAACTGTAGTTTTTTTGAATATTTTTTTTTGAAGATCAGGAGAAGTCTATTGTTCACAGACTTGCTGACAAATTCAATTTGTGAGCTAATTCAGTAGAAGATGCTATTAAAGTCACCAGTGCATCATAAATTGGAATACCTGCTAGTCTGTAGAATGGCTATAGAAGCAATATATTTCATCTTGCATTGCAGTTACTGACCTGCTCCTCATAAATTAACACCAACTGAGCATTTCCATGTCTTCTAACCTTAGGTAAAGAGTTTGTCACTATTTACATATATTGCAGAAAATCAAAGCACAGGAAAATTCACAGTCTTCAGTCATGGTTGTTTTACTGGTTGCAAACATTGCTTTTTGCTTAAAATGTTAAACCTGAACTCAGGAGTTCTTGCATAATTTGATATTGCATGTTGTCTTTTGCTATGCCTGGGGATGGTGTTGAATTTGTGGTTTTGAATTAAAACAAGGGAAATGTGACATGTTGTATTGGGATTTAATTGGTACAGCTTTAATAATCTTTAGTGTGTTTTGCACATGTGGGATACAGCTTATATAACAGAAAGTTAATTGAATATTTTTTAGTTGCAGGAGAAAGTTTTCCCCTTAAGTAGCCTTAGCCAGATTTAGTTTTTGTTGTACTTTGACAGTTTAGGCAGTGTATGGATGTATATATTAAAATATATGAATACACTCCTGTGATTGCGTGTGAACACACATGGAAACAATCTTGGAATATTTTAAATGTATATAGTTGGCTTTGAAATGATATTTATTTCATTAAATAATTTAATGTTACCATGCCTTCTTCCTACTATGTTGCAAAACCACCACTCATTTTGGTTGTAATACAGCTTGTCAGAAATGTTGAGCAAACACTCTTCTCCTGCACTTTGGCCCCAGGTAGATAATATCTAGAATCATGGTCCCATCAGATGGAAATTTTTGTGTTAGTGTCCTCTCATCCCTGGCATTGGCTTATGTTCAAGAAGTTATTCCAGACCTCAGTATTGCATTAATTTTCCCTTGCTTTGTTGTACAATCATTTAAAAAATTGATTCTCTGTCTTAAAGTCTGTTAAAAGTATATCTGCAATGTGAGAGGCATCAGCTGAACTCGTATCTCAACTAATGCTTTTGGTAAATGGATTTCATGGCATCAGTTCTGCTGAAGCATCTTGTATTGGCATGATGTGAAAATCACTTGGGATGTCTCAGATTTAGATTTTTTTTTTTTAATGCATTAGTTCTAATGACTTCAGTTGAATAAGAAAGAACATTTTATTTATGATTCTTCTAGGTTCTGTTTTGAAGCTCAGTTAAAATCTGGTGACAAAATTTTCAGCTAACTAGCTGAAACTGAGCTGTCAGCTAGCTATCTGAAAGGTTTATCGCTCATTTGAGATGATGAATTTCATTTTAGAGGTTATTTTTGAAGCCTTAGCTTCAAAACTTCACATAGTAATAGCTCCTAAGCAAGCCACTCTGCCAAGTGCTGATGGCTTTATGGAGAGTTTTGGTGTACCTGTGTCTTGTCAGAAAACAACCTGCAGTACAACTTTCGTATTTTGTGTGGTGAGCACATGCACATTTCATAGTAGTTATTCCTCCTGGGCAGATCAATCCAACCATTCTGCAAAGCTTTTTACAAATCAATTTAATATAGATTTATTATGATTGGAAATAATTTGCGTTTTGGGGCTTTTTTTGTATTTTGTATTTGCTGCTTTTTTTTTGTCCCTTTTTCCCCATCTTGTCTTCTTGAGTATTTGCCTGGTGTTTAATTATGTATCATTTAATTTCACTTTTCATAGCCACTCTTTGCCTGTAACATTGCGTTGTCTCTCTTCATTCTTCCTTCCTTAGCCCTGGAGTTAGCAAGCACTGGCTGCAAAGAGCCTTTTATAACTTCTCCAAAGAGGTCGATTAGTGATGTTTGGGTGGGAATATTTTGCTTTTCCTGAAGAAAATAACAACTTTTAAAGCCTGAAGTAAGATAGTACTCAGAGTAACATTTTCCAATTTTCCCCAACATTTGCTTGAGTAATCAAGGGGTATGTTTTGGTATGAACTAGTGAAAACAATAAAAGTGCATTTCACAGATTTTTCAATTTAAAATATATTGGATATGTTTTGATTTTTTTTCTCTGTTTAAAATAGCTTCCTTAAAACCTGATAGTGGAAAATTAGAATAGAATTATACTTTGTGTAATTCAAACACCCTACTGTGACTTTTGGTTTTAGTTATATTTTATGGATCTTCTATATACTGGACCCTAGATGCTTGGAAAGCAAGCAAAATTAAGAACAAGCTAACAAAAAAACTCCTCCCAGTGAACTATATTCCTTAGGTTTTATTGCAATTAAGCTAATGAGACTGGCTGGTCCATTTGTACTAAAAATGGGACACATTCTAATTGTTGGTATATCAAGTGCATTCCATATAATTTTCAGAACTTTTGTTGCTGTTTGCAAGGCTTGAGGGCTATCAGAATTCTTTTAATTTTATAGAGGATACAGTAGGTAAAAAAAGAAATAAGAGAGCAATGACAGGACAGAAGTGGAACCTTGGTTGGACAAGTTGGGAGTGTAGCATTCAGTCCATTAAAGTGAATAAATGATAAAAAGAGCACTTACAGGGACTCTTTGTTGATATCAATGCTTGATTTAGAAGCAATTGGAGCTCTGTTTTTGCAATCTGCATCTATGTAGGACTGCAGAGTAGGAAGACTATTACCTGCAGAACTGATGCTTCTGATGCACCTTCCTTCCAAAGCTCTTTGGTAAATATTAGTTTATCTTAGATGAACTGGAAGTGAGATTTCTGATAGTGTGCAGTTTTTTTTGATACTGTATATACTGTAGAAAAAGGACACAAAAACAAAGAAAGAAATACTCCCTTTGGAGAGCCTTTCTTCTGCAGTTCTATTGAGAACTTTCATAAGCGGAATGGGGACAACAAATTCAAATTAGTGTTATGTGGAGAAGACTGGGTGAAAAAACAAATACAGGCAGGCAAGTTTGTTCACTGGGGATGGTCTCTGTGAAATGTGAATTGAATAAAGTGACTAACAAATGAATAGGATTTTTCCCCTGATGCTAGCCCTTAAAACTGTGATGAAGACCTCTCAATTCTTCTGTTGATTCACTGGGAATCCTCTTCAAAGTCATCCTTCTTTTATGAAAAGAAAACAAATATTGATTAGCTCCTTATAATCTGGAAAATCTGTAGCTTGGGTTATACTTAAGAATTCTGTCAGATGTAGAGAGAGTTTTAGTGTTTGAAAGAATAATCAGAGTCTTATTTTCTTATTTTCAGCCTAAACAAAATTCTTTCACATTTAGAAGCTTAGTATTCCATCTGGTGATAGAAAAGGAAGGACTTATTTATTCTTGTACTAGTTGTTGGGGTTTTTTGTTTGTTTTGGTTTTGTTTTGTTGGGGTTTTTTTTCCTTCTGGTGACATAGTATCTGTTGGTTCACCTGGAATCTATTTCGTGTTTGCTTTGCACATGTGTCAACTATGTGTATGCAATTAAAGTCAAACTGACTGGAGGTAGTAATTTACTATACCTATATTACTATACCTTTGTCTTGCCTCTTTCTGTTTTTAGGCAAGTTTCATTTACCGATGTGAATACAATAGCTCGGTACCTGGCTCGAGTTGCTGCCTCTGCTGGGTTGTATGGCTCAAATCTGTTGGAACACACAGAGGTGAGGAATCACAGAATCATAAAATGGATTGGGTTGGAAGGGACCTTAAAGACCATCTATTTCCCATGGGTAGGAATACTTTCCACTAGACAAGGTTGCTCAAAGCCCCATCCACCTTGGCCTTGAATCACTTTCTTGTCTCTTGGTTTGTTTTTTTTTTCTTTTCCTTTTTTCTCTTTTGGTCTGTTCTAAGTTTGGGGCGGGGGGAGGGGGTTTGTTTTTTTTTTTTTAAGTTGTGTCTATTGTTCTGCATTTTACTGTTAGACTGAGGTTCCATCTCTGTGTGATCCTGAGGGTTTTGTTTTGCTAAGCTTCCTCCTTCATATAAAGAAGACTAAGAAGTCTGAGCTTTGAAAAGCAACTCATAAGCTGGCGCCTCACTAATATAAAATAATTCAGGTTGGAAGGTGATATACCTGGGATTTTCCCTCCTCACTTTCCTCAGCTCTGTTGCCATCAGTTGCTATCTTGTAACACTTCAGTATAACACCAAGGAATACTGTGTGGCATTGAAGTCCTGCAGTAGTGTTTCCTGTATTTGATAGACAAAACCCTGACCCTGGTTTCTTCCTGGGTCTAGGCCAGAATAATCAATCATATGATGAATTTTAAATTGATAACTGAAACTAGCAGACAAATTGAAATTCATTTCCTCTGAAATCTGGGGAGGGACTGAAGGACTTGATTCAGGTCTTTTCTTCTTGAAGCCAGTGGTTATCACTCTTCAATCACTCTACAACCCTCATAGCTGGTCTCAAGAGAAGTGTTGGCTTAGTACTTTACCTGTGAGGCATTAAAAAGCTGTAAGTTATCTTGTGGCTATCTAAAATTTCTGTCCAAATTCCTTGTTTTTAAGTTAAGGCTGGTATTTCTGGTACAATACTTCTTTTCACTCCTGCTTCTTTCAGAAATAGTACTGTACTTGGAGAAGCACAGGGACAGCTGCATTTGTGGTGCTCATATTTTGGCGTGCAACTGCAAATGACTGAACTGAATTCTGCGGTAGTTGTAATTACATCTGTGCCTGCCACGTTGGCTTGAGTGCTGGAAGGATTCCCACTGCAGTCAGCAGAACACTTACACATGAAATAGGACCAGAGGAGTAGAAGAGACACTTAGTCTCTCACAGGGTTGAGGGATTCTGTTTATAGACTGGGCTATATTATTAACCAGCCTGATTCTTAACTTTTTTTTTGTATGTTTATGTGCCAAGTTGAAGGAAGAGACTTTTGCAGGAGAGGGGAGTAGGACTTGTGAAGGGCAGGGGTTTGATTTCTTCAAATGTAAAAGGAGATGAGGAAGAAAAGATAGGGACTGAGGGGAAAATGGCATACTAACCAGTATCAGCACCAGGAAGAGTATGTGATAAGTAACTAAGAACTGCTTATTATTTTACCAATGGGAATAACTTCATTAAAGTTGGTGTTTTCCGCAGTTTGAATTCTTGCTAAAGGAAGAAATTAAATTTCATAATTTAGTGTAGTTCTGGGTGAATTTTTCAGAATGATTTATTTTAAATATTCCTTCAAGATCTATTACAATCTGATGTATTTAATTCTAATGTTCCTGTTAAGATGTTCTGTTCAGCTAGTAGATCGATTGTGTATTATTCAGTTATTTAACAAGCTTTATTCTCATTCCTTTAGTAACTTTAACTATCTTTTGTCCCTTCATACAAGATTGATCATTGGCTGGAGTTTAGTGCTACAAAGTTATCCACTGCCAGCCAGTTCCCTTCAGCCATCCAAGAACTCAACCACTGCCTGTCTCTAAGGACCTACTTGGTGGGAAACTCTCTGAGTCTTGCAGACTTGTGTGTCTGGGCTGTACTAAAAGGTATTGGTTTATGTTCTCTATTTCATTGGCTTACAACCAGTATGCAACAGGAAGCCCCAGTTTTTCTTTTTTGTGGATGCTAGTAGTGACTCCTAGCTGTATGACAGACTGAGTACTGTCATGCACACTGCTGTGACCGTCACTTGTGATGGCAACAGTATAACTTAGGAAATCCTAGGTTTGTTTTTTTTTTTTTAAATTGTTGCATTTGGAAATTTATGAGCTTTAATCTCTAGGTGGAGTTTTTTTCTGACTTCTTTTGTATTAATAATTGTAAGAACATCTTTTATTACATGCTACCTCAATATGAAAATGTGCAATGTAATATTATATGCACAGATCTTTCTGTGACATTATCTTAGCAGAGGAAATTTCTTCGGTGTTTATTTTGAATTACTAAAAGAGGTAGATGTTACTCTACAAAATATCCTTTAGAAGTTAAAGAAGCTTTGATGATCTGTTATTATGGATTTGGTTTTTATTTTCTCCTAGCTCTATATCTAAAAGTGATATGTGGCAATCTACCATTCAGTATAATCCAATTCCACTTGAAAGGAAAGGGCATAATTAAGATTAAAAGCTAGCAGTTTTTGGTATTTTTTTCAAAGTTGTTGCTCTTAAGAGCAGTCTGAAGGGAGTGTCCTTTTTTTGGTTGTTTTTTTCTCCTTTTCTCCATCGGAATCCTTCTAGTGGAGTTGGGTTCCTTGGAAATTAGATTGTGGGAATACAGCCCCTCAGAAATAAAGGAGTATATTGAAACATGTTTCACTTACGATAAATCTCAGAAAACATCAAATGTAAACACAATAAAATGATATCCTATATTTCTGTCTTGAAATAAAGTTGCTACTAATTTTGAGGTGGATGATACCAGAAAAAATGTATGTTGACTGTTCTCCCTTCTGCCTTGATAAATCCAAGAAGGAATGCAGTATGTTTTGGGTCTGAAGGGAATTTGTTTATTAAATTTGCTTTTGAATGGCTTGTGTCCCAATGAATAAATCTCTTTAGAAGAGAGAGTAGATTTTTAAAATAAACTTTTCTTAGTCTTAAAAAGCAGCCGTTGATAATTTTATTTTTATAATTTAATAGTTTCTTAACTTTTTAAAACTTCTTTTTTTTCTAACAGATAATAGCTCTTGGCAAGAGCAGCTAGAAGAAAACAAAGCTCCTGTGCATGCAAAGCGATGGTACAGCTTCCTTGGGGTACAACGTGCTTTCCAGTCAGTAGGAGCCAAGTGGGCTGCTGGTACACCAAAAGTTAAAATGGTAAGATTTACTCAGATCTTCTGGAGAGAGTAGGTTTTTTCTGAGAATACACTGCAAGAATTTTTTTTTTTTTTTAATTAGAGAGTTAAAAACTAAAAGTAAGAAGTCGTACAGTGAACTAAACTTTTGTAAACACTTGTTTACAGCTAAAGCTGTTGCTTTCAAGTTTACAGAGGCATGAGTTGTTTCATAGAAATATGACACCTCTTCTTTTAATCAGCACTGCGCTTTAGATATATTATTTCCTTTTTCTAAAGAGAGTTTGAGTTTCTGATAGACCTGAAAAGATTGTTCTATTCAGTTTACTGGATTTGTTTATCATGTTCGGGTTAAGAACAGTAAGATAAAAAACCTTAACTAGAAATTATTTTCTTCTGTGCAATAAATTAGACAGCTTGGTGGGACTTTTCAGTCTTGGACCAGAATTGAAGACAAAATAACTTAAAACTCTAGAGGTAATCTTGATTTGGAGTGCCTTGAGTAATATGAAAGTTGTGGAGAGATGAATTTGGGGTCCAGTATCACAGCTTGTAGGTTTGAAAGGAGACTCTGATACAGCAGTTATTATCCAGAGTTTTAGATCTGATTTTACAGCTCATACAATCTGTAATTATGTCTCTTTTCAAGGCAACAGAAAAAGAAAAGAAAGCGGATGTTGGGAAGTTTGTTGAACTTCCTGGCGCAGAGATGGGAAAAGTCATTGTGAGGTTTCCTCCTGAAGCAAGTGGGTAAGAAACATGAATACTTAGAGAAAGATTCTATTTGTGTTTTGTCTTAAAAAAAAAAAAAAGTGCTTTGATGAGGATGTTGATCAGCTTATCAGACAAGGCTGTTAAACCAAATGAGTGTTTAAAGTTTTGTCTCCACTAGGGCTGTTTGTTCATTTCTCCTCTGTACTTCATTGCACTGTTGCCTGAACTTGGAATAGGGAGTTTACTTGTGAGGTGATGTTGTTACTGCTCAGCAGTGGGATGAGAAGCAGGAGGATGGCATTTGCATGGATGATGGATATGTGTGCCATGCCAGGGGCTATAGTGTGGACATGCAGTCCTTATGAATTGGGCCAAGGGACTCGGTGCTTCCCAAGGAAGCTTACGTTTGACAAAGGAAAGATGTATGGCATAGCCTTCCTTGGGGAAGCTTGACACCAGATGTATGATGGAGGCTTGAGGGTCCAGATTGTGTGGAATACCAAGGCACAAACTCCTTAAAGACCACACAGAGGAGATGTGATGAGGCAGTATAATAAACACAATTTTCAGCCTGCTTTTCATTTTCTGTTTTTTTTTTTTTTGAGTTGCCTGATGACCTATAAAATATCCATGAGTGTCTTAATCCTGGTGTTTTAAAACACCATTCTTCAGGGACATGTTACTCTCTTTTTGTAAGAGAATTTAATTCTGTGGATTTGGGGATTTATATTTAGTTTAAAATGTCAGTACCTTTATAGCTTATATTAAAAAATACACAGCAATCAGAAAATTCCACTCTTGTAAATGTGGTAGGTTCAGATTATCTGGTAGCAGCTACTGGATAGCATCATCAACAGCAGCAACTGGATATCAAGTTGGTTTAAGTTAGTGTCGTGGTTTTAAACCAGTAACTAAAAAAACTACTTTAAAAATGTAAAATGGAGATAATTGCAGTCTAATCATTATATTCATAGCAACACTCTAATTTACAGATTTAGATATTTTTAACAATTAACTGCTAAATTTGTAGTAGAAGAAACATAATCAAATTTAATAAACATTTGGTATTTCAACAAATATCCTAGGTTGGTTTGTTTGTTACACTTAGGTATTGCTTTCCATTCTTTCTCCTTCTCTCACAAATAAATAAGTCTAGCTGAAGTAGTTCTGGTGTATATATTTATTTTTTAATTTCCTTTTTAGATATCTGCATATTGGTCATGCCAAAGCTGCCCTGCTAAATCAGCACTACCAAGTTAACTTCAAAGGAAAACTTATTATGAGATTTGATGACACAAATCCAGAAAAAGAGAAAGAGGACTTTGAAAAGGTATGATAAGATAGCAGAGTGATTATAGGCTGTGAAAGAATGATAAGTGCATGCCTCTCTTTTCTTTCATGCCTATTCTTATGGCTTATCCTTCCTGAACAATGGAGTGTTAAAGACACCACATCTGACATGAAGAGGATAAAGATGTAAGAAAACTACCTTTCCTGAATATTAGAGTGTACGTTTTCACACTTTGCAGGTTATTCTTGAAGACGTTGCCATGCTGCACATCAAACCAGATCAATTTACATATACCTCAGATCACTTTGAAACAATAATGAAATATGCTGAGAAGCTTATTCAAGAAGGGAAGGCGTATGTGGATGATACTCCTGCGGAACAAATGAAAGCAGAGCGTGAGCAAAGAGTGGAATCTAAGCACAGAAATAACTGTAAGATGTTTTAAGCTTTTGTCTTGCTTTCTTACCTTTTTGATTTGGCATCAAAACTTGATTTTTGTCAATGAATATGAGTGAGATTACTAAACTCCATCTGTTCAAGGTCCTTATAGGGACTTGAAAGTGTTTAGTGCTTTTTTCTACAAGGCTGGATGGACTAAGTATACATTTAGACCAGGGCAGTGAACTTGTGTAGGTATGAATTCATCACCATTCATTACCACTTAAAAAATTCAAAATGTAAAATGTGTGAAAATGAATTCCAGTGTCCAAAGAAGGGGGTGACACTGACTTTTCTTACTGCAGTAATAAAACATGATTCTGTATCAGCTTTGTAACACCTTAGAAAATGGTTTATTTTTATTGTTCTTAGGTGTTAATAAGAATCTACAAATGTGGGAAGAAATGAAAAAGGGAACAGAATACGGACAAGCTTGTTGTCTACGAGCAAAAATAGATATGAGTAGTAATAATGGATGTATGAGGGATCCAACTCTTTATCGTTGTAAAAACCAGCCTCACCCTCGGACTGGAAGTACCTACAAGTATGTCCACTTTCTTCTTGTGTGGCCTGTAGCTTTTGCTCTTTTCAGGGCTTTCACAATTCCTTAATAAATTTCTTCTAGTACTTGGAACCTGCTAGCATTTTTCAAGATTATGTAATGAGTCTCTTGACTTTCTGAAACTTACGCAGATGGCTTTTAAAACCTGTGATATGGCCATCATGGTCAAAAGTGAATGTTATTTCAGTTTTAGTCCTTATATGTGTTTGAAAAAATATTAGCAGTGTAGGGTTGTTTTTTTAGGCTTGAATATTAAGGCTGTGATCAGTTAATTTCTTGAAGGTTTTCTTTGTCTTAAAAATATATTGCCCTCTGGAGCTTTTTACAGACAATTTGTTGTGCATGCTTTATTTCAGTTTTGATCTGAAAGTTTTCAGGATATAAATATTTATAATATATGAATATAAACTGCTCTGAGTTTAAATGTTTAGATGGGAGAAAAGTGTTTTGTTCTGCCCTGCTAATTAAAGATCTTTTTTGTCAGGGTTTATCCCACGTACGACTTTGCCTGCCCCATTGTTGATAGTATTGAAGGTGTCACGCATGCACTGAGAACAACTGAATACCATGACAGAGATGAACAATTCTATTGGATCATTGAGGCTCTGGGCATAAGGAAACCTTATATATGGGAGTATAGCAGGCTAAACCTCAACAACACTGTGCTCTCCAAGAGAAAACTCACGTGGTTTGTCAACGAAGGCCTTGTGGATGGATGGTATGTTCCATGGCTGTAGGTCAGCACTGTTCCCTAAGATTCTCATAGCTGGCACATTTTTTATTTTGGGACAGTTTGAATGAATATTTAAACAATACTAAAGAATATAGATTAATTACACTGGCTTCTGCATGTACAATTTGTCTTTTTCCTACTCTGCAGTAGCTGTGTACATACATGTTAATATCCTGTAACAAACATGAGGCAGCTTATTTTTGGACATTGGCTCTTGCTGTGGGTGGCATTTACACATTTTCTGCTCTTGAGTCATGGGTTGTTGTCGTTGGAGTCATTCCTAAACAGTGCCAGAAGAGGGCCTGGTTTGAAGTATTTCTGGTCCTGTCCATCTAGTCAAATCCATCCTGCTTCTCTCCCACCTGCCCTCTCCCTCCTTCTTTCTGTTAATTTTTTTCAGATAATTTGATTTCTGCAGACAGTGTTTGGTGGACTAGCTGTCAATTGAGTTGTAAGCTTAAATTCCTAGTTTATGCATGGAGCCACTTGGCTAGGGCCAAATTTATCCTTTCCTGCCCTGCCTTTTTTTTTCCCCCTAGAGGTATAGCTGGTCTTATGATGACTTTCCCTTCCCTAAGCCTCCTGTTAGGTCCTCAGCAGGGTTTGATTCATATTCCAAACTCAAATGTTACATTGCAGATTAGGCCTTTTCATTTCTTCCATAAGAGAAAAAAAAATCATAGAATTCTATCGCTTATGTCAAAAGGTAGCATTGTCACTTCTTTCCAGTAACATTTTCTGTGTGCCCTTGGAAAGGAAATAATGGATAGAGACATAATTTTTGCCTTTCTAGTTTTGGAGAGACCTAACCTTCACCAAACATTTTGTATGGGTAAGAGCTCAGTCTTCTCTGTTAGATGTTCTCACCTAGCTGTGAGTTCACCAGGTAAAGTACACTGAGTCTGTGCCTTTCACGTGTACCAGTATTAGTAAAGCTCTTGATCTGTGTAGGATTGAGAAAATTTAGTGTATATGACACTAATGGAATACTTTTTTCCACTAGGGATGACCCAAGATTTCCCACTGTGCGTGGTGTCCTTAGAAGAGGCATGACAGTTGAAGGGCTAAAACAGTTCATTGCTGCTCAGGTGGGTGTTTTCTTCTGATTCTCTGAATTTCCCTCGATAAGTTTTTGTGAAGCTTCAGTTAATGTACTTGTCACTGGGAGGTTTCTCCTTTTGAAGCTTTGCTACTTGGAGGTGTATTGCTTCAACAATGGTAGCACCTGTGAGTAGGTGCTGGCAAAATGGACTTGCAGGTTTTTTTACTTGAAAAGCATTTATTTTGCAAACTCAAAAACTGTTTTTGATAAAAGCAAACCGTAGAGGGTTTTCAGTTTAAAGAACTTAATTTGAAATTAGTCTAAGAGCTAGAATATTTATATTAATGTGGTGTTGCTTCAGGCTTTTTTTTTCCACCCCCCCAGGGCTCCTCTCGATCTGTTGTGAATATGGAGTGGGATAAAATCTGGTCCTTTAACAAAAAGGTATGTGCTTACTCGGATTTGATGCTACTCCTGATATCCTCTTTCTAGGATATGTAGAGAATCCAGCGTTCATTGGAGTGCTTATCACAACAAGTAGCAGTTGCAGTATGTTGCATCATTTGGCACACTCAGGAAAATGGAATGTCCCCCCTTCTAACCTGAAGAAGCACTAATCCTATTGATTCTCCTATACCAGTACTTACTTGCCTTCCTTAGTAGGAAAAGATAATGGTATTTGCTGTAAACCTGATCTGAAAACTGCATTTCATTTTTCTGCTTTCAAGCTGCGAGCTATCTGTAAGAAGGTATTACTTAATGCTTTTTACCTTAGCATATAGCTTACAGTGCTGTAAGCATAAGCTATCATTTTGCAGCTTCATAGCACAGTCACACTTGCTTGTATAACAGGAGCTCTACAAACCCACTGAAAATGCATTATTCCTAGTTTTCAAAGGCTGCCCACCTCTGGTTTGGCTGATTTGTCAACATAAACACAAATTTTCCCCAATTTGGTTCACGTTGGCCGCGTTTCCTTTCTGTGGCAAAAGGACGAACGCACTGCTTTGCCTGGGGAGATCAAGCCAGCACTGCTGGAGTTTCTGACTGAATGGCAAATCAGGAATATTGCATCTTGACATGATGAGTTGCTTTTTGGCAGCGGATGCTTGGACACTATAATAAGGCGATTTATTTTCATAAGGATTGCATATTTTGTGTGATTGTGGAAACACCTGTTATTTTGCATTGGGATTCCTGCTTGGTTTTGCTTAGATAGTACCCAGATTTGTTCATTTAAATAGTTTTTGCTTGTCTGGCATGTGTTTTGTATTTCTTCATGTATTTTGCATTTGATTTGCTACATACATGTAGGTTTATGAATTGGTTCTTTCTGTTGCTGCATAAACATATTTATGACTAACAGTTGGTTTGAGGGGAAGAATCCACAACAGGCTGTCAAGGCTCATTTTTTTAAATTGTCTTTTAAACTGAATTTCTTAGACCTCTGACTCAGCTCCTTGTACAGCACCAAATTTATTAGCCAATTTTGTTTATGTGTGGCTGTGCAGATTGTAAGCTATCTGCAATATGAGCAAAACCAATTGGCTGCTTACAGGTAGTTCTGAGCTCAAAGATTTTATCAGTGTGACAACTCATACTTTATACATGATCCTGTAACTTTTAGCACCTGATGAGGGATTGTGAGTTTTAATGAATAAAATAAAGAGCCTGTAACACTATAACAACACTATAAAATCTGGTCATTTAATTAACGAAATTATGATATTAAATCATATAATACCCCTACATTTTGAGATACATACACAAGTCTTTTTTCAAAGTGTATGTCTAACATTTAGGAGTCTGACTTCAGTGGCTACTAGCTTTCAGAACTGTGTCTTCTTAAAAGTATATCATCATATCACTTTATTAGCTATTGTCAAGCAATTAGAAGCTAAATACTTTTCTCAAAAATACAGACACATATATAGGTGTGTAGCTTTTCACTTGAGCAGGAGCAAACCCATGAGAGCAAAAGTCACTCTATATTAATAAAAGCAGGTGTTTTCCTTTGTGTTAGTTTCCACTTAGCCTGGTAGGTCTTGGATATTCCTTTTGGCCTTAGATGACTGCTTTACTTGAAATATGTATTTAAGTGTCTCTTGAACAGTTTGACAAACCAGTATTTCAAGTATAAAAAATGCTATGAAAAACTACAGTAGCTTAGTTTCATAATAGGCAATAAAAATACAGGAAGACATCCTAGTGATGTTTTTTTAGATTAGAGATTTTTTTTTTAAACTGGAGAACTTTTTCTTGCCAAACTCATGTTGTAGAAATCCTAATGAAGTCAATGTTATGGTATTGCCTTATTATAGTATCTAATGTGTCTGTAGTAAAATTGCAGACTTACTGGTGCCTCTTCTACAGCCACTTCTGTCACTGATTCTGCTGGAGTACTGGCCTGGAAAATGAGATCAGGTCTTGTGCTGCTGGAGAAAGAACAAATTCCACTTAAAATTTTTTGCTTTAAATTTAGTTAACTAGAGAAAAAGCGGTTCAGATGTAATAACCTATGTGCACAGTAAAACTGTATTAGAGCACATTTTTGTGTCTTCCCTATAAGGCATTGGGTCATAATTTAGTTACTTCTGCTGTCAGTAGTACGCAATCCACTTTTTACTCAGAGTATTTTAGTACAGTTTGGAAATTGTTAAGTATTATCACTATTTTCTCTATCCTGTAGCTTTGGATGAAAGTGACATTAAAGCAAACATTGAAAAAATGCAGTAACATAAAGAATACCAGTTAATATTCCTTTTTTTTTTTTTTTTTTGGTGGTTATTGTTTTGTAAAAGTATCTTATTTGTGTGTCAGTGGCATATATTCATGATTCACCTCATTTATTTTCTGTAGGTTATAGACCCAGTAGCACCTCGGTACACTGCTTTACTGAAAGATGCAGTGGTCCCAGTAAATATTCCTGAAGCTCAAGAGGAGATGAAAGAAGTGGCTAAACATCCAAAGGTTCTTGCTTTACTCTCTTAATATTCTTGTACTGCAGCTCAGTAAGGTTGGGAAGTACCTTGGCATGAAACAGTCAGGAAGGAAAGTTCTGCTTTTAGCTTTCTCAAGATAGCATGAGATCTATCCAAGGGGTACTTTTTTTGCCTCAGAATTGTCAAAAACTGTGCAACTACTAAACATGTTTGTTTTTTTAAGAGGGAACTGTTTTTGTAAATATATAGAGTGCATATAAAAGGTTCCCCAAAAGGCCTCTTTGCGATTGTTCAGAAGAGGTGAGGCATTACAAGCCTGGAATGCTGCTCAAGCTGGTTTTCCTATTGTTTGATGCAAACTTTCACAGAGAAGTTAAATATTAAATTTTATTCAAGCTTTATGGCTATAATACAGTAGACACTCTATCCATTAACAGTGAAGTGTTTTTTTAAGTGGTTTATAAAATCAGGTTTTATGTGGAGAGGTAATATTAACCTGTTGATTCTGTCAATCTCTGGATTTTTAATATACCTTTTAAATTTGTACAGCAAATAGTTCTTATCAAAAGCTAAGAACTTGCTGATTTGATACTTTTAGTACCCAGTAAACAGAGCAATATCTCTTAAAGGGGAGTGTTCTACTGATACAACTCTTTTCTTGGTTCTACAATTAACAAAGATGCTTTCCTTTGAGTCTGATGTCTAAAATCGTGCTTAAACTTCACAGAAAGCATCCCTTAATTATACTTATATACACTTCACTGAGAAATGGGTGAATATAGCTGAGACTTTGCTTCATTTCTTTGTTTTGATTTTGTTGCTCTGAGTGTTCCCATAGCTGTTTCTTGTAACTGAGAGGTGGAAATTGGGTTTCCCCTCATCCCCCTGGCTGAGGATGAGCAAATAGGTTTTGAGCAGATGCAAGTGAGAATTGTGACTCTTCAAGTCTCAAAAAGTCTGAAATTGGGTCAGATACAAGCCAGCATATTAAAACATCGGTAGTACCAGTAAATGCTGCCTCCAATATGTAATGAAATAAATACCGACCAGAAGAAACAAATTGAAAACTCCTGACCAGCTGAAAAAGTCTGAACTCACAGCTGTCAGCCTTTTTTAGAAAATAAAAGTTTATCTCAATTTTTGAAATTCTTTAAAGCTGAGTATTTTTTAAGTGATGTAGTTCTGGTTTCCGTCTTTATATATCTATGTAGCTGAAAGAAGCTGCATATGTATTTCCACAATAGTTTTATAAAAAAGCAAAAGTGAGAGTTCTGTAATTAGTTTTGAAGAGAATTAGCGTAGTAAAATGGAAACTTGAGAAAAACTTCATGTTTACCTGTGTGATCTTAAAGATGTATGGACCTTAAGGAAATGGGATATGCTGTCAGTGGATTTTTTGAGTGTACTGTCAGGGGAATATGGGCAACACCTGTGAACAAGAAGCTAGAGAGAGATGAGGAAAAATTGTAGCTTTGCATTTCTGTGCATTGTCCACCTTCTGTCTTCATCTGTTGTCTTTGAAATGTAAACCATTATTCACAGAATGCTGATGTTGGGTTGAAGCCTGTGTGGTACAGCTCCAGAGTCTTCATCGAGGGCGCAGATGCAGAGACCCTGTCGGAGGGAGAGGTGGTTACCTTCATAAATTGGGGCAATATCATCATAACCAAATTAAACAGGTAACCTTAGTGGCAGATGAGATTAAATTTTGCTTTTCAGCTTTTTGTTGCTTTTAACAGGAAGCTTGTAACTGTAAAGAATAGATGGTTGGCCATATATGTAATTTCTATGATTCTTTATTTATAAATCTACTTTGAAATATGCCATGGAACTGCATTTTAGCATAGAGTGTATTTTACTGTATGTTCAGGTTTGAAATCATTAGTCAGTCCTGATACTGCATGTCTCTCTCATCCAGTGCTCTCCATGTTTCTTTGGTAATATTGCCACTGTAAAACAGCTTTTTCAGACAGAAAAAAATCACCTGGAATTTTAACAGGTTTCATCCCATAAAAAATACTGCTTTTACATACTGAGAAACTAAATCTGTCACAGTTTCAGTTGCACAGCTGTTGAGGTGGGGAAGGAGACCATTTAATGTCATCATGATATCTTTGAAGTGGTTGTGTTGAGGTAGTGCCAGAATGGGGTGAGCTCTGATAGAGAACATAAATATGCAAAGATTTTTTCCCCATGCTTTTTATTTAAGACAACAAAATTAATGGAGAACTTCAACAGGAGTGAATGCACTCTTTCGTTTTCTAGGATTCATAATTCAAAAATTAACTCTGAACATTTCATTGTTCTTGTGGTATTGAATTAGAAATGATCATTTAGGCTATACCATTATAATTTCTGTTTTCCTGTAGAAGTTCAAGTGGAAAAATTGTGTCCATCAATGCCAAGTTGAACTTAGATAATAAGGACTTCAAAAAAACTACTAAGATCACTTGGTTGGCAGAAACTCCACGTGCACCCCTCATTCCAACTGTCTGTGTTAATTATGAGCATCTGATCACTAAGCCAGTTCTAGGTAAAGATGAAGACTTCAAGCAATATATCAACCGAAATAGCAAGGTGAGTTATATTTTTGTGCCCTTTAATTTCACAAAACTTAGTATTGCTTGGTTTGGTTTGAGGTTTTATTTTTATTTTTTTTTTATATATATATTTTTTTTAATATTCACTGTTTCTAGTTGCTTTTTTAAAATTTAATTGTTTTTTTGTCAAACAGATAAATTGTGCTGGTGTATCTAGTTTCCATATTTCCATGTAACCTGTCATAGTCTCAAAATTAAAATATTAGTCTTGTTTATTGTCAGTTGTTTAGAGGCTTTTACATGTCTGAGACAAATAGTTTAAGATTTTGTCTTGATATATTCTTATGGTATGGCATCTTCTTTCTAGTACTTGTTCTGCTGCTGCTGGAATTAAGTAACATTCTGACACTTTGAAAAGGAGAAAATCACCACTATCATCCTACATCTGTGCTTTATTTCTTACTGTTCCTTTGCTCTGTTAGACATGGGATGATTTATTTTAACACTTACAGCAAGAAGAACTGATGCTGGGTGATCCGTGCCTTAAGGAGTTAAAAAAAGGAGACATCATACAACTTCAGAGGAGAGGATTCTTTATTTGTGATCAGCCCTATGAGCCAGTGAGGTAAGTTACCCAAGAATGGCCTAAACAGACTTCACAGAATTTGCTCTAGCTTGCTGTGTTTTAGTGTTTTCACACACACACATTGGCACAAATAATGTCATCTGCAAATATTTTCCTCCTTACCATGATCTTTCTGAGGAATATCTCTGTGGACTGGCATGGCTTTTATTTTGCATGTTCCTGCCTCTTCAAACTGTCTTAAGCAAAGTATATGTCCACTAACCTGGACTTGGTAGTGGGGCCATGGTTTCATTGTGATTTGAAGTATAGAAATTAAGGAGAAGTGCTACAGAATAAAACAGGCATGTTTCCAATTAGAGTGTGCACATACTACTTATTTGAAACACTTCTTTAGCAAGCTAACTAAACATCTATGTACAATTTAACATAAACATATAAATATTATAAAAAAAATAAAACTTGCATGTAAGAGAAATAATTTCAGATCCCCAATTATGTAAAATTAGGTAATTTCAGCTGTGTACAAAGATGAACCTGCAGTTGTGTGAGAGCATCTTTTAGAAAGAGTAGCTTTATTGTTTCAATAAATGTTTGATATTTATCTTGTATTTCCTTTACTGTTGTGTTTTCTATAAATCTTTTTATAGTCCTTACAGCTGCAAAGATGCCCCATGCATTTTGATTTACATCCCTGATGGACACACTAAGGAAATGCCAACATCTGGGTCAAAAGAGAAGACCAAAGCTGAAACTGCAAAGAAAGAGGTAAACTGGTGGTTTGGGGAAGTACCATAAAATGTATGCATCTATTTCTGTACCAAGATTACATGTTGAATACTTGGCTTTTTTTTTAAATTTTATTTTAAGGCTAGTTCATCTGTAAAAGGAAAATCTGCTCCAGTTGTTGGTCATGCCTCTACTCCAGCCTGTACTGTATCTGAAGGTCACCTGATCATCTACAACAAGGTGGCTGCACAGGGTGATGTAGTTCGTGACTTGAAGGCTAAGAAGGCAGCAAAGGAAGATATTGATAAAGCTGTGAAACAACTGCTGGCCTTGAAAGCAGAATACAAAGAGAAGACAGGCCAGGAGTATAAGCCAGGAAATCCTCCAGTATCTGGAACTGCACAGTCATCAAAGCTTGAGACCTCTGGTACCCTGGACAGTAAAGCTCTGTATGATAAAGTAGCAGCACAAGGAGAAGTGGTCCGAAAACTGAAAGCTGAGAAAGCACCTAAGGTGATGATTAAAATAATCCTTTGGTTTTGTGTGGGTTTGCATAGCCCGTTGTTCTCTGTCTGTGGAGGTGAATGAGTGCTTATGGATCCAGGGTTTTTATAGTGCTCATCATTTGGACTGGGCTCTGTTCTGTAAAGACTTGTGTTTTCCAATACTTCTTTAGTTAGATTTGTATGACCAAGTTTGTATTGGTGAATTCCTGTATTTCTTAGGCTGATGCTCTGAAACATGAACAGAATTAACCCAACAGCAAGAGTTGATTAAGTATCCAAATCAAGTCGAGATTAAAATGCCCTGGCAATTTTTTCATTTGTTTAACTCAGTATGGTCTAATTATGTGACTTCATAGGTTTGAATTGCTGCTGTTTAGACCTTAAAACAAAGCCCCAAAACCAGAAAGGAAAGATCCAAAAGCCACAGATGTTTCTGAGACTTCTTCCTCTCTAACTGTACACAGCAAACATAGCTATTAGCTGTGTTATTTCCTTTCTTTCTAATGCAGAACAAGAAGAGAGGGAAAATAACATAGTTTTCCTGGTGGTTAAATCATGTTGATAGTAGTAGTGTCTTGATGGCATCATAAAATCAAAATAAATTGGAAGATCTGAATTAATTTATTGTTATAATTTTACTTAGGATAGTTAGAGTTGTATATCCCTTAAGAGGAGTTACTTTCTTAAAATAGGAAAGTAGTTAGAAGAATAACTCTTCTAAGTACTTAGGAAAATTGAATAGGTGCACATCGACTGTAGGTCTTTTTATGAAAGTATTTATGGTACTCTTGAGAGTCTTATGTCTCTATATCTTTGTTCCTCCCTCTTTCTGTCCCTTCCTTTCTTCTTTCAGGATGAGATAGGTGCTGCTGTGGAAGTCCTTTTATCCCTAAAGGCAGAATATAAGCGACAGACAGGCCAGGAGTACAAGCCTGGAAGCCCACCTGTGGTCTTTGTCCCTCCTCAGTGTTCTCCTGTTGCCACTCCTCCATCCCCATGTCCAGTAGACAGCAAGGCTCTGTACAGCAAAGTAGCTCAACAAGGAGAAGTGGTCCGCAAGCTCAAATCGGAGAAAGCTTCAAAGGTGTTCTACCTGTGGATACCTCTGAGTGGAACGGTTGTCTTCAGTTTAGGCTAAAACCCAATGGCGGGTTTTGTGAAGTTTGAGCAGCCTAACATGAGCAAGTTCCATGAAGTGCTTTCCCAAATTCTCTTGAGCTGATGATAGGCTGACTGCATGAGTTCTGTGTTAGTGCATGGAAAATAAAAAAGTTCTTTTTTAGTCATACAAGATAAGTGAAGCAGAGTATAGGCAGTAACTTGAAAGAAGAGCTTTAACTTCTTTCAGAAGTTAAGCCAGAAGGAGCCAGATTGGCAGTAATGAATTTGGGAGTTACCTGATCATGACCAAAGAGCCATTATTTATTCAGAGTCTATGTATTTGCTGCTATTCTCCAGCATGCAACTCATGGGCTGCTATTACTGGAGGGGGCTAAGCCCACCTAAATGGGAGGCTTTTATGGCAAAGAAATCAGCCCTTACCTATACTACCTGATTTGGTCCTTTGGTGAACAACTTGTAGATATTCTGGCTAAAAAGTTTTACCACATAACTCAATAATAATAACAACTTATACTAACAGGATAGCTCTAGAAGTTTTATTACAACAGCTGTGTGTCATTCTAGTAAAACTTGTGTTATCTCAGCTATTGTGTTACACCTCTGTTATTTCTACCCTTATCAGCAATGGCTGTTTTTTCTCTCTTGCTTCAGGAACAAATAGATGAGGCTGTGAAAATTCTTCTAAGCCTAAAAGCAGAATATAAACAAAAGACAGGTCAAGAGTACAAGCCTGGAAATCCACCCTCAACCCCTCCTTGTCTATCTTCTACTGCACTTCCATCTCCTGTCTGCTGTAGCAACTTGGCAAGCTGTGGCTTAGTGGATTGCAAAGCACTTTATCATACTGTAGCTGAGCAAGGGGAAGTGGTACGCAGACTCAAGGCAGAGAAAGCTTCCAAGGTACAATAGGCATTAGAGTGAGCAATTGTAAATCTGACCACATTTTGCCACTGGGGGAAAATCTTTACCAAGTAGTGATCAAACTCCCCTATGTCCAGGTCATGCATGCTCTGATAATGCCGAACAAAACTGTTCTGGTGCTGGATACTTTCTTGACTCAGATATATGAAGTCAAACTTAACCTCTCATATCTAGGTGAATAGGCATGAGCATGACAGATGTCGACCTTGCAGAAGTGTTTAATGTATTTTACTATCTCTTGCTCTATTTGGGGCAAGTGACTGTTTAAGTATCTAGTATGCTGCAGCAATAGTAAGACTTTTTCAAAACTAGACAGATTCAGTGATGGTTGTGGAAAAGAACACAAGACAAACCTGAAGCTTTTTAGGTTCTTCTGGGTTGTTTTTTTTCTGCCTGTATTTCTACCTTGCAAAATTGGTTTTGTGTTGGGTTGTTTTTTTGAGGGCTTTTTGTTGGTTTGTTAGGTTGGTTTTGTAGCCTGATAATCAATGCTTTTGGCCAGTTCTCTCTTTAATTCTCAGCAGTAAATCTTGCTATTTGTCCTCCACACAGGATCAAATAGATGAAGCAGTAAAACTCCTCCTTTCTTTAAAAGCTGACTACAAGGAGAAGACTGGGCAGGAGTACAAGCCAGGACACCCACCAGCAGCTCAGGGGACTTTGCCTCAGGCATCAAACACAGAACAAAGCGGTCCAGACACTCCTGAAGCTAAAGCCCTGTTTAGCAAAGTAGCTCTTCAAGGAGAGGAAGTTAGGAAATTAAAAGCAGAAAAAGCAGACAAGGTAATTACATATACACTGTAGTGTAAAAATATAATATATATATTTAAATGTAAAAATCTCTTTGAAATTCAATGTGATTATGGAAATTAAAAATGTCCCTATAGAATAGGCAACATTTGAATTCTGAGATCTGAAACATATTTTTAAAATTAGATGTACTGTCAGATATGGTCCTTTAAAATGTCAGCACATTGAAGTTAAATACTGGCTTATGCAGATTTTTCTGCCAACAGTCTGTAAATGTCCATAATGCCATATAGATATTTTTTTTTTTATAGATCCACATTATTCCAGTGATTTCTCTATACATTTACTTTTTATTTTTTTTTTTTTCTTTTTGTTCTTCAAGGAAAAGATAGATGTGGCTGTTAAAGAACTTCTTCAGTTGAAGGCCCAGTATAAGTCTGTTACAGGAGTTGACTATAAACCAGTGTCTGATAGTGGTGTAGATGAGAAAGACAAAAAGAAGAAAGAGAAGGAGAACAAGTCTGAAAAGCAGAGTAAGCAACAGAAGCAAAATGATGGCCCCAAAAAAGAGCCCTTCCAAGGACAGAGTGGTAATGAGCGCTCCTCAAATGGATCAGGAGAGGGCCAAGGCCCTAAGAAACAAACCAGGTAAAGATGCAATCTTTAATCTTATTGTATAGAAATGTTAACTGTCTACCTCTGTTCAGATTTAGAGTATGATACATGTCCCATTTCACTTGAAAGTGTGGACATTTGCAAATTAACTGTGTTGACTTTCACATTCAGGATTGAGCCAAAAGCAAGTTACCAGAGTTTGTGTCAGTTGTACTTCATCATCCTGTATTATTACTGTCACTGAGAAGTTTTTGTGCTTATTTGCTTCTGCAAATCTGCTGCTGTGTCTTGCTGAAAGTTTAGAGGTTTTTTTTTTTACAGCCTGTATTATGCAGCACTATGTATTTCCTGTTTCATATACATAAATCATATATTAGAGACAGAGATATGTTTATTTTGTATAGAAATACTGCCAGAAAAAATGTCTTTCCCACGTTTAAAACTTCTCTGTTTGTAGAGGTAAAACCTTTGCTTTTGGGTTCTGTCATTTGAGTTTGGTATGTTTAACCTTCTTTAGAATCTTGTCATTTTATTGGTTATCTTTATTTTAAGGTAGGGTCAGTTTTCTGTCTCCAGCAATGTGACTGATATTCACATGAATGGTGAATTCGAGTTGCTTGTCTTTCCTGAAATTGAAGCTACTGGCTAGGTAGGAAATGTTTAAAATAAAGAGTAAAATGGCCTACACACAGGTCTGGTTAATCTTAGGTTCTTACTGGACTGGTTACTGGTTGGGTTTTTTAATGTGTTGTGAGGCTTTTCCATACAGCCATAGTGAGAATTAGAAGGGTTCAAACCGTACTAAAAAATTGGACCTGTTCTTATCAAATATTCTTGTTAAGGTAAGGAAATACTAACAACTCCCACCAGCCAAGACTTAGACTTTTGATGGAAAACAAACACATTCTCTTCTACCTTATTATGTCATACCTCCTGCCTCAAAATAAAAGAGAGAAGAAAAGGGTTAGGATAAGTTTCATTGCTAAATGCTGAACAGCACGAATCTGTGTTTTTTTGTCATACCATAGGCTGGGTCTAGAAGCTAAAAAAGAAGAAAATCTGTCAGAGTGGTTCTCTCAGGTAAGTGCACATCAGTTTGATTTAATTGTTTCATTCTGTTATAAATCGATGTCTGTTTGGGATTTACATTTTCTGTTTGAGTCTTTGGTTTTTTTTTTGATACAAAGCAAAGCATTGGCTCTTTTTATGTCTTATGTTGTTATCATAGCCTTAAATAGAAGTGCCTTGGAGTAAAGAGCTGAATAAATTTATGAAGCTGTAAAAAGGATGAGTGTCAACCACCCAATCTCATATATATATATGTAATATATATATGACTTTCTTGGTTCATACATGGATTCCTCTTTTGTTAAGAGTACAAAACTTAATTGAAATTATAGGAATTTCACAGATTTGAGAGTTTTATTTCACCTCAAGTTGATGCATAACAGAAGTTAATATCTTTTGATACTGAACAATTTTGCTGGCTTGTGAGACTGAAAACAACCCGAATAGAGACAATTAGTTTAGATTAGTCTTGTTATGAGAGATTGTAAGTAGCTGTCAGTGGTGTACATTTCCTGTCAGTAGTATAATTTTTTGCCTGTACTCTTAAGAAATATAAGTCTCTTCTGACATTATCTAGATACATTTCTTACAGAAGTGCAGTTTTTTTATTCCTGGAAAGTAGCTATAGTCTCTTACTTGGGTTCATGAAATTCAGTTTTAGTTAACTGTTTATGTTATTCAGAACTATTATTAAACTTACTGTTCCCATTTAGCCTTCTCTAGGTAACACAAGTGACCCTAAAGTATATCTTAGCTGCTAACAATTTGAGCAGTTTTAAGTAGGAGACTTCTCTTGAATTGGGTGACACACACTTAAATTATTGAATGTTCTCTGTGTACAAACTGAAGCTTCAGCATCTGATTAATCTTTTGCAAGGTGATCACAAAATCAGAAATGATTGAGTACTATGATGTGAGTGGCTGTTACATTCTTCGTCCTTGGGCTCACGCTATTTGGGAAGCCATCAAAGACTTCTTCGATGCAGAGATCAAGAAACTTGGAGTGGAAAACTGCTACTTCCCCATGTTTGTTTCCCAGACTGCCTTAGAGACAGAGAAGTCTCATATTGCTGACTTTGCTCCTGAGGTACACTTCAAAACTATTTTAATCTGACTGGAAGAAAACCCAACCACTGCAGCTGGGTGTGAAAGTAAGTTTGGGGTTGGAGGATTTTTTTCCAAACTTGTTTTGTTTGATTTTTTTTTCCCTTTTCTCCTTCTTTTAGGTTGCTTGGGTTACAAGATCTGGGAAAACAGAACTGGCTGAACCAATTGCTATACGCCCCACAAGTGAAACAGGTGGGCCTCTTTTCATGTAGTTTGGGTGTAAACTTTTATGTGAAGTTTTATGTATAGTGTAGCTGATAGACAGGAGTCCCTTCTGAAAAGTGGAAACCCTCATTTTTCAGAATGTTTTCTGTAACTCCTTAGGAAAATTTCCTAATTTTGCTGCTGTTCATAGCCAATCTCACATTATATGTTTCCTTAAATAGACACTTTTAGGAAATGCAGACTTGAGGATTTTTTTTTCATTAATATCCTGAAGACTGACTTACTTTGTCTGAAAACACATTTGTTTATTTGGTTGTAGTGTTTATAAGAAATCTTTTTCAACTCATAATTCACTTCAGTTTTGCATGTGTTTTGACTGTAGCTGTTCCTCTGAGTAATTTAGACAATCATTTTAAGACCTAAGGCTGGATAAGTATTTAATTGAGTCAGGTCTAGTACAGCATCCTGAAATCTTGAGGTCAGTGAATTCCTATTCCAAGGTGTATTTACCATACTGTAAGCCAGTGACTCACAGTGTCATTAAATAATAAGCTTTGGATTGTATTTTGACCAGCAGCAACCAAGCTGTTTTGCAGAGACTCAGGATGAAGTGGAAGTACTCTGGTGAAAATATTATGTGTTAAGACAAAAAATGTATTTTAAAGGAAATTAAACATAAAAGCATAATTCTCACAGCAGAGAATGTTAAGCTTATATGTAGCAAAAAGAAAGTTTGCCATAAATGTCTTTATTGTGTGGAGACTCAAAGCTGCTTTCTTTTCACAGTCATGTATCCTTCCTATGCAAAGTGGGTGCAGTCACACAGGGATCTTCCTATCAAACTTAATCAGTGGTGCAGTGTTGTGGTACGTGTACACAATTTCTAAGTACCTCTTCTTATCACAAGTGCAGTGTAAGAGTTATTCTCTGTGGACTTGGCATGATCATACTGATCACAGCACATATTTCAAGGCAAAATTATTACCATGGTTTATATGGTATGTTTTTATCAGTGTTTCTAATAAAACATTCTTTATCAATGTGTATGTGATTGATTCTATGAAGTAGAAATCTGTGAATAGTTGGCTTTTTTTATCTTTATTGAGAATTTTCTTATAGTTGTTTATAAACATTATTTTTAACAATAATTTGGCACTTCATAGTGTTAAATTTTTGTACTTCTGCCCCCCCAGCGCTGGGAGTTCAAACATCCCCAGCCTTTCCTTCGCACTCGTGAGTTCCTTTGGCAAGAAGGTCACACAGCATTTGCAACATATGAAGAAGCAGCAGAGGAGGTAAAAACAAATGCACTGTTGTTTCACCTTTCAGGAAGTTACCTTACTCCATAGCAGCACAAACAAATCTTTGTACTGAAACCTCGTAAAAATGTGGGTTTTTTTGGAGCCTCTGTGAAAAATGCCAAGTTTATTAGAACCCGCTTTTTTCTCAGCAGTAACCCATTTCTGAGGCTTCAGTCTCTACAAACAATATGTGGAGTTTACAGAGTGTGATACACAGGTTGTACTTTGCTTAAATTTTTTTTTCTTAAAAATGCTTAAAAATAAATTTTCCTTAAAAATTTAAATAATGCATTCATGTGTTTACTGCTAGAAGTTTTAAAACTTTCTTTGCCCATGAGGCAGATGTTTCATTGAGTGTTGTGGCATATCTTTATTTATGTAGCAGATGTTCAGACTTTTAGGTGGAATTTAGAAGTCAATATAGCTCTTGGACTGTCATTTTTGCCGCAACTCTTGTTTCCTTTCATGACTTACAGTTGTTGCTTTTTGATTCAGAGAAAATAACATCCAAAGCTTCAAGTAATTGAAGAAATCTTAGTTTCTAAACAAAATCCTGAGAAAGTATTCAATTTTTAAGATTTCAGACTCTGTCAGGTAAAAATGAAAAATACTGAGTAATTCTGAAGGCAGTTTGTTCATCATAGGTCCTGCAGATACTTGATCTCTATGCTCGGGTGTATGAAGATCTCTTGGCAATACCTGTTGTGAAAGGAAGGAAGACAGAGAAGGAGAAGTTTGCTGGGGGGGATTATACAACCACTTTAGAGGCATTTATATCTGCCAGTGGAAGAGCTATCCAGGTATTTACCTATTCAAATAATTACTTTTTCATTGAATGTAGCAAGATGGAATATTTAAACTGATGCTTCATAGAATTAGCTTTCTATTTGATAGAATTTTCTGTGTGCATCTATTTCAGGGAGCAACATCACATCATCTAGGGCAGAATTTCTCAAAGATGTTTGAAATTGTGTTTGAAGATCCCAAGAAGCCAGGAGAAAAACAGTTTGCTTATCAGAATTCCTGGGGCATTACAACTCGGACTATTGGTGTAATGACAATGATTCATGGAGATAACATGGGATTGGTACTCCCACCTCGTGTGGCCTGTATTCAGGTGTGTAAAAATGCCTTAAGCTGCCTTAGTTTCCTTTCTTGTCTTGGAATTCATGAGCATTTCACATCAGGCAGCTGGAAGACTTAGTATAGGATGGAGCTGTCTAGTTACAGCGTAGCTGTGTGAAGTTAATACAGATCATTAGGATATTTGTGGTGGACAAGACCCTTTTGGTATTTCATCCATTTGAAGTAATGTTACCTGTGTCATTAGTATGAGAAGGGAAATGTGTCCTTCATTTCTGAGAGCATGAAAGAAATTACCTGAATATAGGGCCACAATATCGGTTTTAAGTTTTTTATAACTATAAGGTAATTTGTTTTGCAGCATAAAGTACATGTCCTGTTCTATTGCAGGTTGTAATTATTCCCTGTGGTATCACAAACTCCCTTTCTGAAGAGGACAGAGAGGCTCTGCTGAAGAAATGTAATGAGTATCGTAGCAGGCTGCTTGCTGTCAGCATCCGTGTCCGGGCTGATTTAAGAGACAACTACTCACCTGGCTGGAAGTTCAACCACTGGGAACTTAAGGTACTTTTCTTTCCAGAAGGATTTTTGAAGCCTAGGTGAGGGGTATATATGAGGTATACTATGTGTGCCCTGTGTTCTGAAGGCAAATGTGCTCTGTAAATTAAGAATTGCTGCCTGATAATCAGCGATTGCTTTCGTGAATAAATGAAGAAAAGATGTTTTCCGAGACTTGTTCTGTTAGCTAGGATTTGCATGTGATTAGGGATTTTTAAACCTCCAGGGCTCTACTTATAATTTAATAATACTAGAAATTTAAATTAGGAGCATAAATTACTTGCATTTTTAAAAATGTGTAGTAATACTCCTGTGTGTCCTGACTCACAACACACCCTTCTGTGCATACGGCAAAACAGAGAAGATAAACCTGCAGTGCCAGTAAAGAAAGGAGTGATTTTATTGTTTCAGAATTTCCATGTTTCCCTCATATAGCACTTGAGAGGAACAGTTTTGCTTCCTCTAATGTAAGAGGCTTTTATAAAACAAAAATAGTGAGCAGAATGAAACAATGGTAATAATGGTAATTAAAAATTGAATGATTTGTTGAGTGTTGCTATAGAATCATATTTTTAGTCTGAATTTAAAATCAGTTTCAATATGTTAATCTTCAAAGTAACATGATAGAAGTGACCCAGATTGTTCAAAGTTCCCATTGTCTCAAAGTTCTCTTCCCTATGTGTAACTTTTTTTTTTTTTTTTTTAATGGAGCTCTAGTAACATGAAGCCATGTTGGAAAATTTCCTAAATAAAATTAGGTTTTTCTAGGAGGCACACAGCACGGGCTAAACTTGATGTTTTTCATAAAATCTACTAATGTGTCCAGCATAATACCTAAGCTGCATCTTCAGGCTCATTGCAGGAACAATACACTCCTTTTATTGAGTATATACAGAATTTCATAGGGTAAAAAATACGAAGGTGCTGGAATAAGAAGTACAAGAATTAACTGAAAAATATTTTGCCTTATGTACTTTTCAGCGTAGCAGATTTCTGATGTTATTTCCTAAAAAAAAAAGTAGTCACTGGTACTTCTTTTGTGTTGTCTGATATTAGTTCCATTGCTTTCTTGGGAAATGTTCCTGAGGGACCATGAGGTATTCTTTCACTTAGTAGTATTACAACTAGAAGTACTGGATACTCTCAAGTTTTTATTATGGAGACAATGTTTTGTGGGTCATACACTAGAATGTTCAGTTTGAATTGCTTGTTAATAACAGTTTTGAATAGCGTTTTGTGTAACTTTGCAGCAGTAATAATTCATTGATCAGGTGGATTTTACTGTATTATTAAAAGGTGTTATTATACCTTTTTAGCATAATTAAGGTAGTGGGGGCAGAGGGAGTGTAGGGAATCATTTGAAAGCTGTGAACTTGAGGAGATTCCAGAGTACACAATGCATAGAAAGCTTGGATACAGGTTTTAATCCTCTTAATTTTGTCTCTTGCACATTGTGGAATGATTTTAGCTTATAAAGTTACTGATGCAATTTCCTTGGGAGTGGGGGGAAGCAATCCTCCAAAATGTATTTGCACTCACTCGTTTCATTTCCTGTGTATGTGTACACTCTGGGATACATGTTAGGATGTAGAGAAAATATGTTACATGGTAGACTCTTAACTGACTCTTTTCAGTAACATGGAAAATCTTTTTCATGGGGAGGATGAGAAATTACATCTTATCACCAAAGTTTATAAAGCATAAAAGCTTTGCTAAAGCAATTAGCTCTTTGTAGTCAAATATTCTATGCAATTAATTTTGATATTAGGATTGTATTTAACAGAACTTTAAAACAATACCTGTCGAATGCTATTGAAAACATTCTGTAAAAACAGAATTAAATAGATTATTTGGCGAACTAGAATGTTACAATTGCTATAGAAGTCTTAATTGTTAAGACTTAAAAAATCTGATTTGCAGTATGTGGGATAACTTAGTGCAGTTTCAGCGGTGCTTCAGTACTACTTGCATGTGGGCACTGATGCAGTCTCCAAGCTAGTGAAGTAAGGTGGAAAGCACAAGTGAAGAGAATGTGGATGGGAAACACAGAAATGCATAAAAGATTTGGAATATATGGTGATTTTTTTGTTCCAAGAAACTTAAGTGTATAAAGTGAATCTATATTAAGACTGGACTTGAAAAAGACACAGGGCAGAAGCTGACATTGTCTGAACATGAAGCAGAAGAGAAACTTAAGCAGATCTTGGAGGAGATCCATGCAAACCTTTACAGCAGGTAAACTGAGAGTTACAGTAAATGGCTCTGCTAATCACAGAGGCCCTTTTCCTGTCAGAAGAACTTCTCACATGAATGGTTTATCTGTGGAGAAAGACAGGTTAGGCTTATCTTCCTGTTTGTGTCATGTAATTTTCTGCCTCTTAAACTCCTTCATGTACAGTGATAGAAGCTGCCTGTTCTTGTGAAATGGAAAGTAAAAGGTTGTGAACTTATTTTAAAAAATACTTCAGTGAGTTCACATGTATTATTAATCAATAAATACACCATAGACACATCATAAATAGATCCCAATGACCTTAACACTGCCCAAGGAAGGGCAGTAGAGCTGGTGAAGGGTGTAGAACACCAGTCTTGTGAGGAGTGGCTGAGGGAGCAGGGGATATTTATCCTGGAGAAAAGGAAGCCCAGGGGAGACCTTATCACTCTACAACTGCCTGAAAGGAGGCTGTAGCCAGGTGAGAGTTGATCTCTTCTCTCATGCAACAAGTGACAGGATAAAAGGAAATTATCTCAGGTTGAGCCAGGGGAAGTTTAGATTGAGCATTGGAAAGAATTTCTTCACTGCAGGTGTGGTCAAGCATTGAAACAGGCTGCCCAGCACAGTAGTGGAATACCCATCCATGAAAGTGTTCAGAAAACATGAATATGCTTATGGACATGGTTTAGTGGTGGGCCTGGCAGTGTTGGCTTAGTGGATGGAGTCAATGGTCTTTGAGGTCTTTCCCAGCCTAAATAATTCCATGATCCTATGTACAGGACTCACTTGTGAAAGATGCTTTTGGTGCGGAATTTTAAAAGACATAAAACTGTCCAAGAAACTTCAGCAGCTGAAGTTCTGTGTTCAGAAGTGTATTTTAAGACCCTATTGACCTTCATAGGATTGTTTTCTTGTAAGCAATCAAATACTTTTGAAACTGTTTTTTGCCCTTACTACAAATGCCAAAAATCCCTCACAGGTTGGTCACTGCAGATTGTTGCTCGTAAGTCCAGCAAGAGCAGGGTGTTGACACAGCACTGTGGTAGATGAGCTTTTCTACTTCCTTCTCTGGTGATCAAAATTGTTTACAGGCAGAATATTTAGTTAAAAAGCATCTTGTGATTTAGATTTAGAGGATAATTTAAAAAGAGAAGTATACATCTGTAGTATTTATTTCTGTCTGCTTTGGGTCAGTGTTTAGCACGACAGGGTGAACGAACATGGTGAGATGTGCAGCAACCTGGAGAACACCCCTTCAGCCATTCATCAAAGTTTCACCTCCATGAGGATCAGTGGTAGAAGGACATAACCTGATTAGGAAGATGCTAATGAATATGTAGTTCTTTTGGTAATGTTTTGTTTTGACTGGCTCTGAAAACTCAGCTCATTGAGCCAGTGAGTTTATATGAATAAATCTGCCCTGGCTGATTTTTTTTTCCTTTTCTTAGAGCATCCGAGGACCTAAAAAGTCATATGGTGGTGGCCAGTAATATGGAGGACTTTCAAAAAGAGCTTGATTCAGGAAAGGTGAGGGAATTTACTACTTCTATTCTTGTGCTTCACACCCTTTTTATCCCTTACACATAATGGTTTTATCAGGAAATGCTTTTAAGAGAGAGATGTAAACATTTAATTCAGGTTACAATAACCTCACTGTCATTATTCTAATGCAAGCAGTGACAAAACACTTAAGTCTCATATAAAGGTCCAGGTAAGAGTTTAAAGTACAAGCTATTTACGTCAAGGAAGTTTTACCTTTATGACCAGAGTAGAAGCCATTGGGTTCATTAAGAATTACTGCAAGTCAGAAACCTCCCTGGATTTATAGTAACAATAACCCATCATGTGGATGAGTGAGCTCTACTGATCTCAACATCTGTGAAAAAACATGGAAGTTTAGATGAGAGATTAAGCCTTCAGCACAGAATTGAGCTGCTGTTTCTTTTACAAAGAATGGTGACAGAATTTTTTAACCCTGAAATTCTGTCGCAGATCAGGTTGGGAACTTGTTTATGTGTTGGGATTAGTGTGTTCAAGAAATAGGATCCCCAACATCAGTTAGTAAGGCTTATGTATTTTATAGAGAGAGACCAGGGGGTTGTGTACCAATTAGATTCACTCTGAATATTTCAAGATTCCTGACAAAAAATGTACAAGTGCCAAGAATCTATAAAGACTCTGTTAAACTTCAAAAATAATTTTAAGTTATTCCTGGTTAGGCTTGACCTTACATTATTCTATTTTCTTGTATTCCTATTGTACTTAAATTCAATTTAGAACAAAATTTAAAGGAATAATGATGAACTTCAGAGGAGGGACTGATTTAATAATGTCCAGCATTCACTGTTGTGTGCAGCTAGATTCTAGATATGACAAAGAGAATTAGGCTGTTTTATAATGCTTAGAATTCTAGTGTAATCAAAATGTAGTTAAGGTTGGAAATGTGAACAAGTAATTTTACATTCCACATTGGATACTTCCAGTGTTTTGGTACTTAGGTTGTATGAATTTATTATGAGCTGCATATCTGAATTGAAAAAAAAATGAAAAAAATATGCCATTTTGTGTTTGTTTCACTGTTTACCTATTTTTGTTGTATTAACATAATTTTATAGCATATGTATTCTAAATTACTTGAAATTACACTCTGCTAGCACTGACTACTGTTTAAGAAGAATATTTTTAAGATTAAGTAAGTGCTCCTGTTTGATTCCTTCTGCTGTTTTTCCCTTAATGGCTTTGCAGACTCTTAGCTGTTTAAAAATGTGGAATGTTTTTTGTTTCACTTACAAAAGATTAATGGAAGAATGGTGTAGTAGAGTGGTAATAGTTCCTTTTTTCAGTTGCAAGAAAGTGAAGCTACGAAGTGAAGTCTAGTAAAGGTGTGCTCCAGTTAATGGAAAATGGAGAACTTTGCAGTAAGAATGTAAATTAGGTGAAAGAAAGATGCACAGAGTAAACCTTATTCACAGTTTGGTTAGAATTAAAATGAATGAAGGCTGAGTTTAGTAGGTGAGGTTGCCCTCAGCTATCAGCATTTCATGAGTGTTCTAATGTGTGTAGGAGGTGTCTTTCTAACAGTAATGCTACCTCTTGGTATCAAACTGGATTTTCTTTGTGGAACTCCATTAAAAAACAAACAAAAAAAAAGTCAGTAAAATTAAATATAAAACTAGGGGCAAGAGATCTGCTGCAATAGCTAAGAGTAGTACAGAGAGGAGTGTGTGACATTATCTTTTCAGCCTTGTTCTCTCAGTTTTCCTCAGTTAAGTTAAGAAAATAGCAGAAGGCTGCGTACCCACCCCCACACCCCCAAAAAATGTGCTGTTGGCAGTTCTGTTTTCTTAAAATAATGTATGCTAAGAAAAAATGAAAATTCATAGTAGTGAAATTAAAATGGGAACTTAATTAAGGCACTGCCTTGCAGTGTGTAAGGCGAGCATTTGCTCAGTAGTTTGGAAATTTTAAACTTTTCCTGAAGAACAGGATATTTAATGAGAAAACAGTGTTTATACTTCACACGGAAGAAAGTTGTATTTGGTTTAAAAAAATAATTTAAATGGTGCTTTGGGTTTGTGTAGGATTTTCCATACTGCACTGTGGAGGAATGACTGTGCTTATGTATTTGTCTGATGAAAACGAGCTATTGAAATTCAATTGTAACAATTGGAATTTTTCCCAATTTGAGATCTGTATATGAGATCTGAAGGCTTAGGAAACTTCCAAAGACAAAGATGATTTTTTTAGGTGTGTAACTGTTGGGTTTTTCTCTCTCCCCTCCTCCCCTCCCTTCAGATTGTACAAATCCCTTTCTGTGGGGAAATTGAGTGTGAAGATTGGATCAAGAAGACCACTGCCAGGTAAAATATAACTGAACTGGAGAGTATTTAACAAGATCAAAATCAAAATGTTTTGAATATAGAACAGGAATGCAATGTGCCTTTGGGTATAACACTTACTTACAGACTCTTGCTTTCCTTCATAATTCAATGTATTTACTTCCCTTAGCTCTGGAACTTTCAGAGTAATTAATGCTGTTTTGAAATTTCATGTGTACTACACTTTATCGTGCTTTTATTTTTTAATAGAAATATTTATTTGTGAATATATTTATTTATTTATATCCTTTTATTTCAGGGATCAAGATCTTGAGCCTGGTGCCCCATCCATGGGAGCAAAAAGCCTCTGCATACCTTTCCAGCCTCTCCGTGAACTCCAGCCCGGAGCAAGATGTGTGTGCGGAAAAAACCCTGCCAAGTTCTACACCCTCTTTGGTCGTAGTTACTAAATCACTAGTGAAAGAACCTTCTCCTTTATCTGTGAATTGAACTTTTTTTAATAAGACTGAAATAGCCCCTTAAATTTCAATCAGTTTTGTGACCTTTTTAAATAATTCAAAGACAAAGCCATAAACCATAACCTGGCTCCCCAATGGTCAGTCTTAGGCTAGCAGTAATTCACAGACTTTTCTGTAAACATCTCCAATAATAAAGATGTATTGTGAGCTGTAACATGCTGTGGTGGGTTTTTTTCCGTATTGCTCAGTAGGGAGGAATAGGTATCCTTTGCTTATGTCTTTTTTTTTCTGATTTGGTGCATGTATTTCCTTATACATTGAGAAAATGCCTGAAAAGTTTGAGACAATGTCATAAAAACTACAGTACACTTTAGTGTGCTCACATATACTTTATAGATAAAACATCTGCTTTTAATTTTGCCTTCAAGTTTTTCAGTAGAAACTTGCTGGTAACCTGTAGGCATGGCAATTACTACCTTTAGAAAACTTCCCTCTGAAGCCCAGTCTTTCAAGGAATATTTTCATAAAAACATAAAACCATAAATAGCTTGGAAGGGTTGGAAGAGACCTTAAAGATCATCTTGTTCCAACTCCCCTGCCAAGACAGGGACACCTTCCACTACACCAGGTTGCTCAGATCCCCATCCAACCTGTCCTCAAACACTTCCTGGCCTGGAGGATCCACAACTTCCCTGGACAATCTGTTCCAGTGCCTCACCACACTCAATCAAAGTCTAGGGCTTCCTTGTAAGATCTCACCTGAACCTGCCCTCTGCCACTGTAAAACCATTCCCCCTTCTCCTATCACTGCCTGCCCTTGTAAGTCCCTCAAAGGTTTCTCGTAGGCTCCTTTAGGTACTGGAAGGTGCTCCAAGGTCTCCCTGAAGCCTTCTCTGCTCCAGGCTGAGCAACCCCAGCTCTCAGCCTGTCTGCACAGGAGAGGTGCTGCAGCCCCCTGAGCCTCGTTATCACCCTTCTCTGGACTCTATTCCAATAGCTCTACATTGTTATAAGTTGATGGCCCCAGAGCTGGACACAGCACTCCAGTCTCATGGAGCAGAGGTAGAGGGAAGGAATCACTTCCCAGATTTTCACCCCCCTGTAAAGCAAGTTTGAAAGATTAAATGCTACATTGTACCAAGGTGCAGGTGGTGGTCATTTTTTTGCAGATATTTTGCCAAGTTCTGTTTTCCATATTTTGCAAACTGGCCTTTATGGCTGTCTGGCAGTGATATTGCAATGAGTAATGCAAAGGCAATCTGAAGAGAGTTAAGCTCAGTGCCATTTTAAAAATAACATTACTTCCACTCTGAGTGCAAGATTGGCTTTAAAAAATAAAGAGGTGGCCCTGGCACAAAACAGTGGTTAGATGACATACACTTGATTTATTTATTTTTTTCCTTCTGTATGTTTGAAGGCTGTCTGCATGAACACCTTTCCCTGAAAAGAGTATAGTAAAAACTTAGCAATTAAAAAGTTGGACCAGTAAGATCCTCTCCAAACTTTTCCTGGGCCAACACTACATGTCTGCCTGTTCCCAAAAATCTAGTTTTATATAACAGCCATAGTCTTAAGTATGTAGAAGACTTAGAGTGCTATTGCCAGATCTCTGCTTTTCAAAGGCATGCAGAATGTTTGCTTTTCCTCAGATTCCTATGGTCAGCCTTCCTAGTCAAAATTTTTAATATTAAAATTTGAATCTGGCCTGTCCAGTTTAGGATCATCTCCCTTGTGATGAGACCCCAGTTTTTCTACAGAAAAGTGCAAAAATTATTAAATATTTCAGATCAGCATGCTCAGAATACTTGAAACTTGGAAATTCTCTGTAATATTCTTTAGATTATGGTTAGTCCTGAAGGGATTGCTTCAAATGTATTTTAAAATCATCTATCTTGCATTTGTTTAGGTATTTTCTCAGGTGCTGTAATGAGCAAAGGATTTAGGGAAGGATGTGTCTGTGCATGAATTTATCTTTGGATTCAGCTGACAAACCAGACGAGCAGCCCTAAGGTCTCTGTCCTGGTGTGCTGCTTCTGCTGCTGGCTGGGATTATACTTTGAGAAGGAGGGTGAGCAGTAACAGCAGAGTGATGTTTTCACAGCCTGAAATGGTGGGTGACTAAGAGTAGTCTGGAGAGGGATTGGCCATGGCACCTCTCTGGTGCTGGGGAAGGGGAAAAGCAGCAACCAGCAGCTTCAATGTCCTCAGGTATAAGAGGCAGAAGCGTGCCCAGATTTTTTGGCAGAGCAAACCAAAGATTTTTAAGAATAGATGAGCACTCTCAGCTCCCACTGAAATGCTTTACAACACCCATATTTTAAAAATAAGATGTGGAAGCTGTTAGTAACTCAGAACAAAGGAAAGGCAAAACTAAATGCAGCCTCTGACCTTATCGGTTTGAACAAACAGCCAACCTTCAACCAGTTGACTGGATCAAATCCTCGAGTAAACATGTTGACACACTTCTTAGAAATGAGTTGCTCTGAGCCTGTAAATGGGTTTTTTTGAAAACAGATTTCATAGAAGGCCAGCCGTATTTTTTCTTTTTTTTTATCTCTTACTTTTCCTGATCATATTTCTTCCTGGTCATAATAAGGCTTGAAGGGTCTGAAATATTGATACCTCACATGCAGATTTCCCTGTGATGATCTTCCACAGAGAGGCTAATGTTTGCCTGGGAGAGACAGTATAAAGGGGGGTATAAGGGAAGTGCCTTAACATCATGCTAGCAGCTCCTTATTGGAAATAGAGCACAGGTGAACATTTTAGCTCTGCTGCAAAGGGAGTGCTTCATTTATCTACCATTGTTTTGGTAATCACAACCTTGTGCAAGGCAGGGCTTTTGAGACCGCTGAAGTTTGACCTTGGTTTGTAGCCACTGAAAGGAGAATAACTTGAAAAATAATTCTCATCTTTCATGCTCCGTAGTTCAGGTAATAAAATAAGTAGTTCAACATCACTTAAATACAGGAAGAAAAAAAAGCACTGTAGAAATAGCTGGGATAGAAATGTTTCCAGTGTTGTAATTAGTTCAAGCAATCCACCCTTCCAGGTTAAATGGTGTTGTTAAAATGGCAGGAGGAGAGGAGCCCTTGAGTTGCAGCTGTAGTGTGTAGGTAGGCAAATGACCAAATGTTAAAGATTACGTATGTTGGCAGGCAAGGCTTCTAGCAAACTGGACTTTAAACATAAATATTTTGGCTGTTGAAACCCTGTGAGCAAAAATCCAGATGAAAAGTTTGGGCCGGTGTTTGTTTTTAACCTAAAGTTAATTCACCTTGGGAAGCCTAAGGCCAGCAGGGACAATTGGTCAGCTCAGGTTATCAATATTATCTTATCTCTCCATTGCTGTATTGCATGTAATTCATGTAATTTCCTTCTGTCCTATCTCATAACTAACTGTGTGCATCTATGTACACAGATGGGCACTTTAAATAAAAAGCTGGATCATCAATTTTTCCAGGAAGACACCCGTGCTGCCTGCTGTGCCATTAGCGGTATTTTGTGAGTTTGTGTTAACTATGGGGACACTCAGAGCTCAACAGGTGCTGCAAGGAGTGACAAAAAATGTTACTGCTTCAGGATCCATTTTCCAGAAATGGCACAAAGTACAAGCTAGGACTTCAGCAGCTTGAACTTCCTGTTGTGCTCTCCTCAACTCTGACTTTTATGTGCAAGCATATAAGAATTACTTTGAGATTTTGAGACAGGGTTTTCAAAGAAAACAATGTACTTTGGGTTTATTGTTAAGCCTCAGCTTCCATGTCTACTGGCAGTTTGTTTAGAAAATGGCCTCCAAATTTTCTCCATTTCCATGAGCAGAGTTAAAATGTGCCAAAATTACAAGAAGTTGTTGTACAGTTGTTTTGAAGTTGTTAAAATGGAAGATCAATTCAATTATCTTTGAAGATTTTTCTAACATCTTCAGTGACTCTTTCAAGCATTACATGTTGATTGTGCTCTTAAAAATCACGTCCACCCATGGATTTCAAATGTCTTTTTCCACAAGTATATAATAAGATTTTTTTCAGTATTATAATTACTGGCAACAAATGGCAGGAACAGGCATGAGAGGAGAGCTTTTTGCAAAAGAGAGGTCTTTTCTAATCACTTAAAATTCTGAGCAACCTTTTTACGCTCTCCTGTCTGGGCTTTATTCAGTTTTTTAGGACACTGAGTAGAGTAGCAAGTGCTGCTGCTCCCAGTAGCCTTCCTCAGTTTATTTTTGCGTGTTTTGTGGGAAAAAATGCCTCCTGAGGGTGGGACACCTGCAGGACTGGAGCCCTCACAGTGTCTTCACATGACAAATCTCGCTCAACTGCCCTTTAAACTGATTTATTGTTTTACTGCTTCCTATAAAAGTGGCTCCCACATGTGAGCAGCAGTGACAGCTGAAGGGCAGGATCGCGGGCAGGGAGCTGCTCCTCTGTCTCCGCAGATCCCGGGAGCGAGGAGCAGGGAGCCGCAGGAATGGGCCGCTACTCGGGCCGCAGCAGCCGCCTCGTCCTCATGTGCGTGCTGAGCCTCGCCATTTTCGCCGTTGAGATCTCGGTTGCCTACGTGGGCAATTCTCTCTCCTTGGCCTCAGACGCCTTCGCCGTCCTCTCCCACCTGGTGTCCATGATCATCGGGCTGTTCGGCGTCCGGTTCAGCCGCGTCAGGTGGCACAAGGCCAGCACCTTCGGCTTCAGCCGGGCAGACGTGCTGGGGGCTTTCGGCAACTCTGTCTTTGCCACCGCGCTGATGTTCAGCATCTTCGTGGAGGCCATCAAGAGGTTCATCAACCCTCAGAAGACTGAGAAAGCGCTGCTCGTCCTCATTATTGGGGTTGCAGGTCTGTTCTTCAACCTGTTGAACTACGTTATCTTCATGGAGTGCTGCTATTGCCATGCATCCCCCAGAGACACCGAAACAGGTAAATAACCTCATGTGGCTGCTCTGCCCCTCTGCACCTCTGCTTGGTTATAGAGACTTCTTACTGCTTCTCTGGCATGGGCAAGGAAATGTAGTTTTCTTCACTCTTTTGTCAGCAAGGGTGATGGATTTTATGCCTGAGCCCGTGCATGTTTCCAGCTATGGCCACAGATGCTTATCAGTAAGTAACTGCCAAGCATTTTAAGTGTTGTCTTTCCAAAAGCACACAGTGATATGCAAGGGAAATTTCCTCCCTAATCCACTGGCTGGCCAAAAACAGGACTAAGTGTGCTACCATCC